TCCCATACCACTATTCACCAATAGGGCTGTGCGAAGCCTTTGAAGGAAGTGCCTTGGAATGTGCAAGAGCACAAACAAAGCGCTTGTTTTCAAACTGATGAAACAGCCATGCCTTTTTCCATTCCAAAGCATGTCCACCTGCTTTGGCACCTGCTCCCGGCAGTCTCTGAATACTTCTGCATGCACATCTTTGATCTGCATAGTTGCTGAGCTCAGACAAGATGAGCCAGGTGCAGACACCTTTAGAGTTGCTACTCCATTAATTTAAAAAAAAAAACCCTTTAGTTTTATGTGCTTTTATGGGTAAGAAAAAGATACTTATATTAGTTAATAACTTACGTACACTGATCGGTATAAATGAACTGTAAACAATTTTTCATGATTGATTCAAAATAATTTCAGCAAGCATATTTGCTGAAAATTCTGTATTTATATTGTAAAACTCTTCCATTTAATGCAATAATAATAATTTTGCAGCAAAGCTTTTAGGGTCCATGTTGAAGTAAAAAAGGGACTTTTGTTTTAATTAAGTGCATTAGGACTGAATAAGATCAATGAGATTACTCATGATACAGTAATGTTGAATGAATAGCCTAAATTCCTTGGGAAACAGGCGGAAAACAATTGGTGATCAATTCAAATTTGGATTTAATTTGTGCATATTGTTTTGGCTTATTTTGTAGGTGCAAGAACTTACCAAAGAGTGGACCAATAAGTGGAATGAAACCCAGAATATTTTAAAAGTAAGCAGTGAAATGTTTCATTTTCTTCAATGTTTCAATTTAGGAATGAGTTCTTAAAATGAATTCTGTGCCTGTTTATAAACTTTACTCATGCCTTGCAGAATGCAGTCTTGTTCAGAGCATTGTATGACATAATTCTGTCTAAATTTGTTTAGAGGTAAAAATTCAAGATTGTCATTATAAATTCTCTTTCTTGGAAAACTTAAGTTAGAAGCCTGGGAACGAACTTGAGGTCTTTTAATGTAAGACAGAATAAAGGAAAACCAAAATTGTTTTCAGGATAGTAAATAAGATATTATAAAGACGAATATATGCATGCAATGACATTATGACATTTCATCTCTTCCATTAAGTTCAACAGATACATAGAAATTCAAAGTTTCATGAAGCAGGTTCAGGAAATCAAAAATCCAAAATGGCTACTTGTTCCATATGTGCATTTTAGTTGTGCGTCTTTATGACCCTTACTTTCCAAGGAGGCAAATACATGATTGAGAAAAGGCTTTTCTTCATGTCTCTTCTCTCCTTGGAGATAACATGGAATAACAATATTGCCTGGCCATTTTCATCTAAAGTCATAAACCCAAGCAGAAAAGAGTGTGTGTATGTGTCTCTGTGTTAAAAGGCAATCAGGTATTATTCAAGGATTTTAGTACCATGAAATGAATAAAAATTTATAATTTTCTGTTTGTGAAGAAAACAGCTCTGACAATTTTGTCAGAATGCTACTGAACTTCTTGTATGATATTGCTAGCAAATACAAATTCCAACCCTACGTGTCAGTCCATTACCAAATGAATCCAGAAGTGCAGTAGCACAATTTTTATTATGAACAACTTAAGTTATAAAAGAGTGAGCAAGCTGTTTAGGGACTCTCTCATTCCCATTATGTTTACCTGTCCCACCTGGGCAGAGGGGGGAGATATGTTATGGACCCCGTCGATTAAAGAATGTCGTTTAGCGGGTCCCAAGAAGAGAACCTTCTCTGCCATTGCTCCCACCCTATGGAACACTCCCTCCAGAGGTGAGGCAGGCCTCCACTCTTCTGGCCTTCCAGAAGGGGGTGAAGATCTGGCTCTGCCAGCTCATGTGGGGCTCAAGGAGGGAGTGGTTAGCACCCTAAAGTCACTCCCAGAGGTTGATAATTGATTTATACCATCTATCCCTTAGATA